AAAGACTGCCCGGCAGTTCCGGTATTGGATCGATGAGAACATTGTCGAAATTGCGCCCTTGGACCTGGACGAGCCGGAGACCAAGGCCGTTTTGCGGCAAGGGCGATGCGGCAAGGAGGATTGTCAGGCACTCAATCATGGACGGTCCAAGATGGTTTCAAAAGTCATCTTCATGGATGGCAAATATCGTGGCTCCGAGGGCTGGCAGCGCATCCTGCCGTGGTCTACCAAACTGGCCCAGGCTACCGAGAAGGACACATCAGAAAACAGAATGAGATGGATCATTGTGGAGAGGATACTGACCTTTTCTCTGCGGTGGGAGGGCCCCGATGACGAGGGAGTTACCTTGGCTCGACGAAAAGTGCCGGAGATGCCCACACGGCAAATGGTATTTCAGACAAGATAGAAGGGGATGGTATCCTTCTCTTAGTCAACTCCCTGGCGACTTACACGGAATTCCATGGCAGCAGCTCAAGACGGTTTCGCGACTGCCGGCTTTGCGCAGCATAGCCTGAAGCCATAACTGCACTGACTTTTTGAAATTTTGCACGCTCAATTCGACTTAATTACGCTCTAGCTTCGGTTCGACGGCACATACTCAGCGGAAGCCCCTTGCTACTTCATTTGGATATATTGGCACTCATCTCTTGCGAAGTCTCTCTCGAGAGAAAAGGCACCATTTGGTTACACACAAGCAAATAGTGCGACGTTTAGAGATACGGGCGGAATCGCACATGGTCTCACCCAGCCGTTCCTTACAGCGTTACACGGACCGCCAGGGAATTTATCATTTATCAAGCTCACTTTATCACTCATTTACGCCGTAAAACATGAGTTCGGGTCAACTGTCTGCCGAAAGCTTCATCGTACGACACTCTCAGCTGCGATTGTCCAATCAACTTGGCAAGCATTCCGGTGCCGATGGACCGGAAGACGTGGTGGAATGAGGGACTTGGCTGCTGGCCTGGATAGGACAAGCGAACCAGGGCCACAATTTATACGCTGTCGATACTTTGTGTTCAATCGACGCGAGTCTGCACAAACGAGGCAACGCTTCCCCGGGTCCAAGGTCCTGCAGGAAATGCGACATATCGGCAGAGAATGAAATGGCGAAAATGAATGATGGACTTTCAGGAATGGCAGTGTGAAGGTATTTTGATTTCTCTGCATTTGTCTCCTACTCTCTACTCTGCTTGGTATAATATTTCTTGTACGGGAACTTCTTCACATGTTTGGGTTCATGGATGGGAACGAGATTGCTTTTTTTTCTTCTGGTGGAAAGGAGTTACTACACTTCCCTTTGGGGTAACATAGGAGTCACCGGGCAGGCAAAGAACAGACATGGAAGAAATTGGCAGACTAATAAGCCCTTCGCAGGGACGCAATGTACGAGTTTGATGAGTTTATGGTTCAGCAAGGGGAACTGCTTCAAGGAGGGTTTTCTCCGTTTGTTGCATGATGTTTGGGCTGTTGAGGCGGCTCAGATGGAATCTGATGGACTGGAGTACGGTGGTGTGTTTGCACAATGGAAAGCTAGTTTGATTTGGTATGTCTACGCCTGTCTATGTATGGGAAACCAAGTAATAACACATGACTGGATATCGATTGCAGTGCCTCGTGCTTCTTGCCAGCGTGCCCGTGACACATCATGTTTCACCTCTTGATTGCATTGAGCAGAGGCTCCCCCTTGTCCCATCTCTCAAGGTTCTGGAAAATTACGTCTGCTATCCTCTGGGTCAGCTTGTAAGACCGCCAGCTGATGTGTGGGGTGATGAAGACGTTGGGCGCCTTCCACAGCGGGTGTCCTGTGGGCAATGGCTCTGGCTCCGTGACATCGAGAGCAGCTCCGCGCAAGAGCCCCTGTTCAAGAGCCTCAATCAGGGCGGGGGTGTCGACGATGGGGCCTCGGGCGACGTTGATGAGATAGGGCTTCTTCTTGCTGAGGATCTGAAACTGCTCCGCGCCGATACAGTGTCTGGTCTGGGGGTTCATGGGGAGGCTGAGGACGACGACGTCGAGGTCCTGGCTGAGAAACTCGTTGACGGCTTCCGGGCCGGAGCCGGAGAACCACTTTGCCGGAATAAGACCGTCCGGGTCGCCGGTGCCGGGGACGATGTACTCGTGGAGCTTCCTGGACTCCGGGGTCGGTCTGGGGTTTGCGGTCTGGACGTATATCTCCATGCCGAGGGCGCTGGCGAGACGGGCGACTTGGCGGCCGATTGAGCCGTAGCCCATGATGCCCCTGTTTTTGCTTGCATGAGCTTTCAATGAGTCTTGTATTGGTTTCAACGAGAACTTACATGCGGAGGCCCACGGAGTCTGTGACGGGTTGGTCGAGGCTGGTGCTGCCCTTTTTCCATTCCTCGCGCTCTGCTTGCTTCATAAAGGTCTGAAAATCATGAGTGTGGGCGAGCCAGGCACCGATTGCCCACTCAGCCATCTGAGGTCTAAGCATTTACGATATCACGCTGTCAGCCCTGGTCTCTCTACGCCGCCCAAACGAACACCATATCGGCGACAAACGGGCGAGAGCGATGGAACAAGGAGAAAAAGACCCACGGGTGAACTCCGCTGGTGCAGGCAAAAGCCACATCCTTATTCAAGAAGACGTCGTGCTCGAGCCATGCATCCCACCCGGCGGACCCCAGCTGGACGAACTTGACGTCCTTGAGCTTGTCGGCGCGAGGCGGCCGGAAGAGCGCGGCGATGGTGACGCCGTCCCAGATGTCGTCGGGCAGGGCGTCTACGGCGCGGGAGTCGCCGCCGATGGAGGCGATCTCGCAGCGGATGCGGAGCTGGGGGAAGCGCTTGGCGAGGGTGTCGAGGAAGCCGTTGGGGAGCGGGGAGGGGAAGACGATGAGGAGCTTGTCTTTTTCCGTGATGGCCATCTTTGGGGTTGGATTGTGCGATGCGAGAGGGGGGAAATAATATCAGGAGAGAGTTGCTGTTAAAAGTGATTGGAGGGAGGCTGGAGTGTTATAGTGTTATGGTGTTATATAGGAATCGTGTTGTTCGTATAAGACCTAGTGAACTTTATCGGTCGGGCTCGGGGCGCGAAGGAGGTGTGAGAACCGCGGTGGGGGGAGTGAAGGTGGGAAAATGCGTATCTGAGATGCCAAGTATGGGAACTGATAGGGCAGCTCACATCAGATTCATGCGTATTTTGTCACTTTGCTCCCTGTGAAGGTAATCTGTCTACTGCTGTTCGGCTTGTTCTATAAAGTCCGATGGCTGTAGGAGTTATGTATGTGAGGTGTTGGCTGTATGTCCGGGGGGTGCGGTGTTGTCAGCACCAGTTGAAGCCCTCTCGGCAATCGTTGAGACTAACGAAACGGTTTGTAAACGAGCCGGCTCGGACACGTTGAAGTTTGGTTCAGCTATAGCCTGAGGGTTAATTATGTTGATTGAAAGAAGGTTGACATTGGTTATAATCAATGAGTGTCAAGATTGTCCGTTTCTATTAGGAAGTATTCCGTATTTAGCAGCAAAAAGCACGCCTTAGACGGGTCTCCGCCCTTCCCGAAAGCACACACGCATCACCTCAGACAAGTCATATAGATCAGGCAATCAGGTACAGCGTATCGTGCATGTGGCGTAGACGTTTTCATGCCAAAACAGAAGAAATTATGCTCATTATAGGAGAGGCTTTGCTCGAAACGGCAAATTCTGCGAGCCAAATTGAGGCTTGATGGGCGTTTTCGACTATAATATGGTAGCTTTTCAGATACATAGGTTTTAAGGGTAGCTTAAAAGTAGCTGTGCTGGTGAATCCTGGATGGTTATTTTTCTTTCTAGAGTTTCTTTGGTTGTTTGTTTACTCATCTATTCATTTAATCTGACGAACATTCTCTTCCTACCTATTCTTCGACTCATGTGTAGTTTTTGGGCAAAATTGTTGCAATTTGGAACACATCGTCTCCCTTCAAGTTGTTGCCTGGTGCGAGAGAAACTGCCAAGTGTTGCTAAAAGATGAGCCCTTTCAAAAGCCAATAAGCCCAGCCCATCATTTCCCTTTTGTGTGAGATTTTAACTCGAATCCTTTCGATCCTGTCGATTTTACAAATGTCCCAACTCCGCACCCACCTCAGCCCTACCTATCTATAGTAAGTATATTGGTAATCCTTTAGAAAAGGGGAATTGAGTAGGCGATCTTGGCGACTTCACAGGTTTTCTTCGGTCAACGTTCAAATAGGCGAATTTGAAACGTTGATTTGTTTTCGTCCTGGAGACACACGTAATTAACCTCCTTTCAGACGAAAACCTAACAAAAGTTACGAGCCAGTCCCGTAAGAAGTAGCATGGACCAACAACATCCCGGAAGATAAATTATTACAAATGCTGTCACCCCGGTTGATGAACCTACGGCCTGGGCAGCAGCACGGAGCGGAACAGGACGCCGCTCTCTTTCTCCCTCTTCTACCGGCCCGCGCCGGAGGTTCCGCGACGTCTGGGTCCATAGACGTTCATTGCAAATAGGGATGGGGAGCGTTGACAAGACTTCACTCATTGATATGACAATGTGAGAAAGTACTAGTCCAAATCCGAATCCGATAGCTTCATCTATATCCGTATGTATCTGCCCAGGTAGAGGAAACCCATGGTGCTACTCCTATTCCCGTTCCCAAGTATTCAAAGCCCTTGCGGGTAGGCAACGTCGATTGTCAAAATTCGCCGTTTCCAAGTCACGTCTTTGTATCATAATCCTTCAGACCAAGCATTTCTCCCTAGTTCCCCTTCTTCGCATTTCGTCTCTGGCTCGAGGCCCTCGACCACGCGCCCGTAGGCGTCTTGAATCGTACAAAACTCAGCCCAGGCGTCGTCGCTGCTGCTGCACCTTGTGCCCTGCTCGGCAGGTTCCTGCCAACTCGCTCCCAGTCGCCGTTGGCGCTCCCCTTGCGGTGTTTCTCGTCCTCTTCATCGCTGCCGCCCATGGCTGATCCCGGCAGCATCATTGGCTTGGGCTGTGACTTCTTCATGGCGCCTTGGAGAGCGGCCCACGACTCGACCTGGCCGTTGATGGCTTCCTCAACGCAGTTGCACTCGTCTCCCGCCGGGCAAAATGTCTCGCCCGCAGCGTGCCACTCTGCAAGGCAGTCCTCGTGGAACGCGCATCCGCAGGACAGACACGGCGGGAAAAGAGCGTCCACAGGCTCCAAGCAGTATACGCAGCGGAGCTGGTTCTGCACACGGTGGCACCGGTCGCACGTTCCCACTGCTCCGCCAACTTTGGAATCCGATGATGTATATCGTAGAGGATCCAGCTGA